TTGACATAATTTCAGAGTTACAGGAACCTTGCAAGCATAGTACAAAGAATTTCCATATATCCTTCACTTTGAGTCTCTAGATTTTTATATTATACCACATTTGCTTTACTGCTCCTCCCAGTCTGTGTGTGTGTGTCCATTTAATCTTTTTTTTAAACTGTTTTCTGAAGAGTAAGTTGCAGACATGATGCTGCTATACCTTTAAATACATCTATACCTTTGCTAATGCAAAGACATTCTATTACATAACCACAGTGCTATAACCAAAATCAGAACATGAGCGCAGATATAATACTATTGTCTGATCTACCTTACTCAATTTTGCTAATTTTCTCGATAATGTCCTTTTACATCAAGAGAAAAATCCCAGATGATGCATTGAATTCAACTGTCAAGTAGCTTTAGTCTCCTTCAATCTGGAACAGTCCCCAGTCTGTCTTTGTCATGACCTTGACATTTTTGAAGAGTATAAATCAGTTATTTTGTAGAATGTCTCTCAATTTGGGTTTGCTTATATATTTTTCAAAATATAAAATATTCACTCTGAGAGAGTCAGAAAATTCTTGTTGCCCTAGAAACCTATAACTTCAAAATTTATTAACTTACATGAGCCCAAATACATGAAACACTAAAGGGATTTAATCTCTAAATTTATATATGTGGTTCCTGAGCCATTTGTACACATATGTGCATTCTTCAGACTCTGTGCACTTTGTTCTTAAATAAAAATAATAAATGGCTGAAGTCAGGATCTGAAAAATTTATAGTTCATTTTTAAGAGAAAAGTTCTATGTTCTTGATTTTATTAGTAAGTGTTGCTAATAGATTTTTTTTTTTTTCTGTTTAGGCTATTTGTCTCACTTTGTCTTGAGTAATAGGAAGAAGTGAAACATGACCACTGAAAAGTTCAGGAGAGGTTTAATAGATAATTGAACTAGTTTCTGAAAAAATCCACAAACGTGCTATTGACTGAAGTCTTTTTTTGAGGAACAGCTGGTCTATTGCTATCAGAGATTCTTTGTCTCTTTATTTCACGACTTCTCTTCTTCACTCTTGCCTTTGTTTTTGTGAGTCTCTAATATTCAGGCCTTTTATGTAAACATGACTTTCCATATACAACATTGTAAGATATATATACACACACACACATATATATATTTATCATCAGATCAAGTTTGGGAATCTTGAGATCCCTCAGAAGTGCAGTGAGGGCTTGAGAGATCAACGTTCTTTCTCCTCTCCTGCAGTAAATAAACTGAAGGCTGATGATGATCTCAGGAGTCATGGGAAGAGATTTTTATTGTAGAGCTGAGGAGGGGGCTGCTTGGGTAATACAAATGTTATTATTGTTGGGATAACATATAAGCATGAAGCTGTTTCCTGCTAAGATAAAAATTTGCCTCCCAGGATACAATCATTTGATTTTCTTTTCCTAAAAAAGAAAAAAAAAGATAATAAATAAATTTAAAAAACATAAATAGCAAGTGACATTCAAGCCCCAGATAGTCATTGACTTTGGTGGAACTGTCAGCTGGACAAAGGAGCATTTTTGTGCTGGAACTTCTGCAGGTCTTTTGTCTCTACAACCATCAATTCCCTGTCTCCAAAGAGTTTCTCTATAATGGTAAATAGCGCAAGAATTATTGAATAACTGTCTTGGTAAAACAATTATAGCCTTCTTCGCCATTAAAAAATGTGACTGGTCACTTAAAATACTGTACTTCTGATTAAAAAAACAAAAATAACCTATTGTACACACCTGTCTTTTGGATTTATTCTTCTTTGCAAGTGAAGTGATTAATATTAGAATTCTTTTAATTGAGCTCATCCATTGCAGTGCTTCTCTTTCAGAGAAATCAGTGTAAAAATAAACCCTTTTTTCTCCTGTGAATTGCTACCACTTGCCTTCTAGAGGTGCCTGAATTATTTTTGGGGGGGGCCTTAGTTTTTACCTGATTTTGAACAACAGTAGTTTAGTTTGCCATTTATTTACTTCTCGCCACCTAGTGTCATCCAAAATTTTCTTGCTGAATCAACTTTTTGAGCTCTCGACTTTCCTTTCAAGTGTCTTACCTCTGTTGCTGATCTGTCAGGCTTAGGGATTCAGCTTTGTTGCACTAACGCATACTTCAAACGTGTTTCAGAATTCGCACTTCAAAATTAAAATATACATTTTCTTTTCAGTGACTGAGCCATGAAACAGAATCACATGGGATACGGAAGTGGTAGAGTAGAACAGAAAAAACTACGGCATAGAAGCAAGCACTTCCTAGGGAATTAACTTTCTCAAACATGTGCTTCCCAGAGCTGGGGAAACACTAATTTCCGTGTTGTTGGTATTGTTTCCTTGTTCTACTCTGCCACTTCCTTATCCCACATGATTCCATTTCACGCCTCAGTCACCAAGTAAGAAAATGTGTATTTGAGGTTAGATTTTAACTTTAAGCACTTTTTTTTTTAAGGGAGCCCCCAGTATTAAAAATGCTAATACTTGTGGGTATTCGCTGGAGCTGGATAATGTGATCTGGAGGACCCCCTCCCAAACAGAAAAACAGGGTAACTGTGTTGTCTAAAGGCAGAGACAACACTCCCTCCTCACCATAGATCACTGCGCCAGAGTCCTGTGGGGACCAGTGGAACGTCAGCACCTGAGTTGCCTGATGTCTAACCTGGAAGCTTCCACATTTCAGAACATTGCCCCATTACAAGGCCATTGTGATGGGGATGCTATGTTCCACTGCTGTGCTGATGGGTGGCTGATTTCAAAATGATTCCATATGCTTTCTGCTTGTTAGAGAGCTTTCCCTTCCTGCCATGCCCCTGGAGGAGATGTCATTCATTCTGCATTCTGAGAGGAGCTTACTAGTGTCCTGGGCCATTGCGGGATGAGGGCTGTGTAGGAGGATGGGTAGGGAAAGTGGGGGTAGGAATAATTCCGATGTCCGTGTGAGAGTCACACCCACCCAGGGAGTGCCTGGGCGATGGGTTGGCTGCTGTCAGCTTGAGGTCCTTGCACACAGGAGCCAGAGGGTGGGCTCAGGCTGCTGGCTCTGCTGTTTTCTTCTTAAACACTCCCAGCAGAGTCTCTTCCTCTTTTTTTTTTTTTTTTCCTTCCTTTCCCAGCTGGGAAGGCAACTTTTTTTTTAATTTCTAAGAACAGGAAATTTCACCTTGCAAGTATGCATTTCAGTCTTTCTCCTTGGAATTAGGTGAGTAAATTCCCCTTTACTCCAAATAGTCAAGAGCCTCAAGCTTTTCGTTCTGGTTCCTAGTGAGAGACTTCTGATTATTTCCATGAGCCGAGGAGGAAAGAGGCTCTCGGTGTGTATATGGAGGAATTCTGTGGGTTTGGGGTGGGAATGGGGAGAAGCAAGGAACAACAGAAATAAATATTTCAAAATATTTTCCTTCTATGTGTTTCATAACATCACTGAGCACACAATTCCTCTCTATTTCAACTTATCACCAGTAATAAGTCTTGAACTCTAAAAGATTAACTCTAACAACTCTTAATCTAATTTGAAATATGGCAGACAGCTTTGGAAGTATGTAGACCTTCCAAGGCCATCTGGGGAGCCTGGCAAATCCCGAGTGTAATATTTGGAATTTTTAATCACACTTAAAGCTCTTGTTCAGATAGTTCAACAAACCCTAATTAAGCCATTAGAAAATGGTAAGCCCTCTGCTAGGGTTGAAGATTACAAACAGCAGTAAAAATCTCTGCCTCATGGAGTTTCAAGCCGAGCACAGGAAACAAATACATGAAATGATACCGGCAATAATACAGTCTATGTGAAGTAAAGAAATAGTTCAGAGCTGCAGGTGATTTACTCTCATGGAGAGAGGGTGCTGCCTGACCCGGGTTTTGAAGGATGAATAGAAGTTTGACAGAGGAACAAAAGAGAGGCAGGTCCATGCAAGTGGAAGAGGCATGTGTAAAGGAATAGAGATGTGTATCCACCTTCCAGCCTGCACTCCTCTACTGGCTACACTTTGGATTTTTGAGGCTAAGAGTGACTTGGGAAAAAGAAGCTTAAAACCCTCTGGGGCTCTCTGAATCTGCTTGGTGGATCTAGAGAAATCTGGAGATTTTAGAGTAATTTTAGAGTGGGTTGTAGATTCTCCATAAACTTTTGGGAAACCAAGTTTGGAAAGGATTGTAGAGTCCTGTCTTGCTCGGGAAGGTCCACTTTTGGTCTCTGAAATCACTCCTCTTTGAATGGCTTTGGGTGCTGATCACTGCTACTCATTAGGGGTGAGAAGCCAGGTAGCCCCTGGATAGACGTTTGTTGATGAGAGTTGGTTGCACTGAGCCTGAGCTATCCAAGGGACAAACCAGCAGACATGGAGGAGACTAGAGAAATCCACACACTCAAACTTTTAGAGAGAGAACAAAGACACATGAGCAGCCCTGGTCTGCCATCTGGCATTGCAGAACCTGGTCTGTTTGGGAAGGGTATTCAGCGTTGCCGATGGCTTTTAGCGGAGGTTAGACAGGGTGCTCAGAGTTCAGATTGAGGCAGCTGAGAATGCAGATTGTTGTTGGAGAATTCTGTGTGAGACTGAGTTTGTCTTGCTTTGGTCAGGTGGTCAGCAAGTGTTGGCTGGGAATTCCCCCAAGAACCCCTCAGTCCTGTTGCAGAGTCCTAGGTGACACAGAAGTGTATCTGTGCAAAGCGACAGCTCGGCTGGGTCGGCAGTTAAGCTTAGGACATTCAATTTTCCAAAACAGCCCCAGGTCAGGACCTACATTCCTTCTAAAAGTAGGTTTCTATAGTTCATAGCAACGTTCTATTAAGTAGTTCTAAATGGAGTATATTTTGATTGTATATGTTGGTGTTTTACTGAGCATTGCTGTAAGGTATGTCATATTCGTAAATCTGCTCTTAAGTAGATTCTGCTAAAATTGTTCATTGTCCCATTTGTAAAGATCTATACAATAAATTCTCCTCAAAATTTAAAAAGAGATCCTGATAAACTGATGTGCTTCTTTTTACCAGGTAATGAGAACTCTGTAACCCAAGATTTTTTGCATTTTGTCTTAGCCACCAGAAAGCTCAGAGGTAAATGTTCTGATCAATTCTGTCACTCTAATTTATTTTTCTGCAAAAGACTCTTGTTCTCTTATCTTTTCCAAAATCCTCCTATTGCATAGAGGTCTCAAATTCATTTTTGGAAACAGGTGGGGGCATAGAAAGTAAATATGCAATGAAATTATAACATTTTATTAAATAGTGCTATCTTATTTTCTAATGAAACATACATGTGGAAATTCTTGTATTAAGCACAAGCTGGGGTTCTGCTTCTGGCTGTTATTCACTTGGAACTCTCATTGACAGGAAGGCACTCTCATTCCTACTGGAATGCCTATGCGGGTAGTTCCTCTGTAAACCCTCCTAGATTAACTTGCTCATCTCCAGACATTTCTATCACTCTAAGCACCTCTAAGCACTCATGTATATGTGTCTGGGTACCATAATTGTCATTAGTTATGTATTTCACAGAACAGAAATTTAGAGCTGGAAGGAATGTAATCACCCAAATCCCATTGAGCTAAAACGATAGATGGGCATTTTGAAACCACTAAGAGATTACAACAGAAGTTAGCATGCTGTAGGTTATTGCATGGGCTCTATGGGACGCTCTCCAGAATGTGGAGGCTGGGCCTCAGAGACTCCGGGTGGTGTTTGCATTATTCTTCCATGAATGGCAAACAGAAACATGGCTTTAGGACTTTCTCCTTGAAAATAAATTTTCATCTAATTGTTTGTTTCTGGTTTCTATTTATACATGTCTGTCTTCTCCTCTGGAAGAGGTGGTCCTTGAGTGCAGGGGCCATGTCTTTCTATCTCTGGCATCAGCGCAGGTCCTGGCACACAACAAGCACATAACTTAAGTTTGCTGAGGGAATGAATGAATGAACGGCAGACTGTCTCTTTGGTAGGACCATGCATTCATTGGTGGAAGGTCCTACCCTTGCCATTTCTTTCTTGCCTTGTAAGACGCATTGCCCCAGAGGACACCATGAACAAGGACTGACAAAAGCAAAGAATACAGCCAAGGCAGTGAGCAAAGTGTCACCTTAGGAGGTTGGTAAGTAGCTTTAGTTGCTGCTCTCACTATCAGTACTAATCAGATAGCTGCTCAGGCAAGTCAGTCCTGGAGGAAAGCACCTAAGGATGCAATGATGAGAGAAGCAGAAAGACATGGTGAAGGATTTGATGACTGAGGACAGAAATAAGGGAGCTGAGGATGCAAAAGTTAGGGGTAGTTTTGTGTTGGGCAGGGCAGTAATGCTGTACCTGGGGATTGTGGAAGCTGAGAGGGAGAATCATTTGTGGGCAATTGTGAGGAGTGTTCAGGCCTTGTTTCTTTCATTGTGTGTGTGATCACAATGGCTTCTCCAGCTCTTTGTCTCACAGTGGAGTCAGGCATTAGGATAGAGGAAAGGCAAGAGGGGGAACAAACAGGACAAGGGTGGACGCTGGCTTGTAAAGAGGTTTCCTGAAAGACACACACTTGTGCTTAAGTCATATTGGCCAGAACTTTGTTACACGATTGTACCTTGCTGCAAGGAAGTTTGGGAAAGGCAGTATTTAGTTAAGCACATGCTCTCAATAAAATTGGGAGGTCTTTTTACTGTGGGAAAGGGGAGCCCGAATATTGAGGGGCTGCTAACAGTATATATCACATAAAGCTAGACATAGAACATAGTCTCTTACTCCTAATCCAGTGCTCTATTACTTAGCTGTGAATTTGAACTCTACATTGTGGAGGTAGAATGGGAGACTGAGAAATGCCGGAGGCTTAGACTGCCCTGTCTCTGCCATTTTTTGTTACCTTGGACAGAGCATACCATTTCCCTGAATCGCTGTCTCTGAATCTGTAAAATGGTTTGTTGCATAAAATGGCCTTTGAATTTCTGCCAGCATATATATATATATATATATTTATTATTAAAAAAAATTTTTTTTTGAGATGGGATTTCACTCTTGTTGCCCAGGCTGGAGTGTAATGACGTGATCTTGGCTCACTGCCACCTCTGCCTCCTGGGTTCTAGTGATTCCCCTGCCTCAGCCTCCTGAGTAGCTGGAATTACAGGCACACGCCGCCATGTCTGGCTAATTTTTGTATTTTTAGTAGAGACAGTGCTTCATCACATTGGCCAGGCTGGTTTCAAACTCCTGACCTCATGTGATTTGCCTGTCTCCGCCTTCCAAAGTGCTGGGATTACAGGCGTAAGCCACCTCACCTGGCCCTAAAATACTTTATGATTTAAAAAAATATATGGTAGCTAAAACCAAGTGAGCAATTGAACAAGTCAAAGGAGTCTGCAGGGGTCTCTCAAGGAAGGCTATTCTGGCTGAAATTCACTGGAAGGCCCCATGATTAGGCCGGATTACGAAACTGCGTCATCTCTTCAGACACAATTTGCAAAAACAAAAGCTAAAGTGGTTGCTTGCTCGATAGCTATTTCTCTACTCTTTCCTTGTCCAACAGGATGCTGATTTTATTTGAATGTCGGTCAGCAATCCTACAGTAACCTGACTCCAAAGACGGCTGCCATGAATTCCTTCCCTCCCTGTACTTCCCCGTTGAGGAGCGGAGTCTCCAGAATCTGGGCTGGACTGGGTTTGACCTACAGAATACTGCAGAAGTATATGGCATGAGAGAGTATAGCCAACTCCAGGCTTGGCATTCAAGAGGAATGGAGTTTCTGCTTCCTGTATTTGGGAGCCGTGAGCTGCCTGGTAAGAAGGTTAGACCACTCCACTCAAGAGAGAGGCTGCATGCACAGGCACTGAAGGACTAGATGTGTGAGCAAGGAGGCCATCTTGGGGAACAGCCAGCCCAGCCGAGCCTACAAAAGACTCCAGCCCCAGTCATCTGATGGCAGCCACAGAAGGGAGCCCAGAAATGCCCAGCTGAGCCCAGGTAACTCACAAAACTATGAGAGATCATAGTAAATTGCTTTAAGGCACTAAATGTTTGGGTGGTTTCGAGGCTGGAGAATAGGATCTGGAGGTAGGGAACTTAAGGCTGTTTCATGCCGACTTCCTGGAGCTAAATTGAAAGGAAAACCCTAACTTTCCACGACTACGTAACAAAAAGACTAGAGGCTACTCCTTTTGCAAACCCCTCACCTTTTCCAGATGGGAAATTGGCTGTCCGCGACCAATCAGACTGATTGCTGGCCGAGTCTTTTTCCGCAACTTGGTAACTTCACCTTAGTCTCTGATTGGTTACTTTTTTGCAACCAATCAGATGTTTGCACAGGAGTGTGACCTTTGTAACTCCACTTCAGCCTTTGATTGGTTGCTTTTGGCAATCCATCAGACCAATTGTAGGCCACCACTTCATTTCCATGAGGTGAGCATGAATGGCTAATGGGAAACCTCTAGGGGATATTTGGACCTGAGAAGATTCTGTTTAGGGGCCCTTGAGCCACTGCTGGGCCAGCTCCCATACTGTGGAGTGTACTTTTGTTTTCAGTAAATCCCTGCTTTCATTCTTTTGTTGCTTCATTCTTTCTTTGTTTTCCTGGACGTTTTGTCCAATTCGTTGTTCAAAACACCAAGAACCTGGACAACTTGCAGTTACGACCCTCTACCGGTGACACTTTGTTGTATAATAATAGACAGCCATAACCAATGTGCTCAGGAAAAAACATCTCCTTCTCAGTCCTGGAAGTGAGTCATGATTGGTCTAAACCATTCTTAGTAATTCCATACAAACTATTTTAGGGGGATACATGGGGCCCAGTTACAGTCAATGAGATACTGAATGGCCTTCCCTTACAGATAAAAAGAGACTCAAGGGGGAACATGTCTGTGTTTTTCTGCCTGGCATTGTTGTGTCTACACTGATTTCTGGAACGATGAAAGCTATATTCTGACCATAAAGGGACAGCTCTCAGGACAGCCAGTAAGCTGAGGATGACAGAGCGAAAAAGAGAGACAGCTTGTGTTCTGAAGTCAATTCCAAAACCCCCAAACTCTATAAACTCCTTCCATAACCTCTTTGTGTTTAAAACAGTTTGATTTTGGTTTCCTATTACTTACAGGCGAAATCATCTGAATTGATACAGTGTGAAAATGAATCTCTATCCTATGCCCTTTCACTGCTGGGAGAAAGAAAAAAATGGAAATTATAAAGTTTTTATCCTTTCTTTCATGCTGTTCAAGTGTGGGCCCCGGAGCAGGCCTTGCAAAGCCTGGGATACTCAAAGGTAGCAGCTGAGTTGTGGGTGGAACCTAAATTGCTTTGCATAATGAAATAAAAGAATTGAGTGTGAGAGGAGGGGGCTAGAGAACAGAAACTCAGGAAAGTAGGAGGAGGTGTGTGTGTGTGTGTGTGTGTGTGTGTGTGTGAGTGTGAGAGAGAGAGAGAGAGAGAGAGCAGGGCAAAGAGAAATAGGAAGGGGAGCTGATCCCAGGGGAAAAGGCAGCCTCAGTAAAGTCTGCTATGCACAAAGCCTGCTTTGAATGTGAGGATGAGTTTCATGTTTGGCTTGGTGTGGAGCAGAGGAAAACCCAGGAGGTGCAGAGTGAGGGAAGTGGAGAACTAGAGGAAGAGGAAGGCAGAGTTAGAAGCGGCTGGGGGAATGTGAGGTGCTAGGGCTTTATAGGAATCTGGAAGCTGGCATGGGGAGCAGGGAGGGGTTATGGCAGTAAAAAATCTTTAACTCTGGAAGTGCAAAATGACATCTTCTGACATATTGATTGAAGACTAGCTTCTTACACAATTATTATGTACTAAAAAAATGTGTTTTTTCCCCAAGTTTCAAGTATCCAAATTCTACATTCAGTTTTCTTTGAGATCCTTGCTGCTGTTTAACTCCTAGACCACAGCAAGACTTGTTGAGATAAGTCAAGCTTGCCTGAAATTATAGTAAACAACCCGAGTGAATGGGAAGCAGTGTAAATGGAAAGAGAGCCAAGCTTTATCAGGAGGACTAGGTTCTTGCTGCAATTCTCTCGCTAACTTCCTGGGTGACCCTGAGCAAGTTGCTCAGTGATTCCTAGCCTCAGGTTCCTCCCCTATAAAATAAATAGCTAGCTGTCCTCCCTTGCTCCTGCTCTCGCCATTTGATGTGACTGCTCCCGCTTCGCCCTCTACCATGATTGGAAGCTTCCTGAGGCCTCACCAGAAGAGATGCCAGCACCATGCTTCCTGTACACCCTTCAGAACCATACTCCTTAGTTAAAAACAGGTTAAGAAAATAATTAAAAAAAAAAAAAAAAGAAAGAAACTCAACTCATATTTCAGTGATTAGAGCAAGAATAAGGATATGGAATCACTTGAGGCAATGAATTAAAGAATCATTATGAATGAAGAGCTCATGTGTGAATGACAAGCTGCATATTGAACATATTGTGAATTAAATAGCTAAGTCCTACATCCTTCCATGGATTGTAAGAAAACAAACAAGCAACCAAATTCAGATGGACATAGCAATAAGAGTTATGTGAAAAGAGGTAAAACGCAAGTCTGTGAATTAATACATTGTGTTAGCCGATTATAGTGATAGTGGATTTTTTTGTGTTGAAGCCTGAGTCAGCCACTGCCTTGGGAAGAATTGTGGACTATATTTCCATCTGAAAAAAAAAAAAAATTCTAGAAGAGTCATCTAAGGAGGATGCATTGAAAAAGAACAAATCCTGGAGAATATTAACTATGGAAACTGCAAAGGAAGGGAGGGATTTAACTGAAGATGTAGAATTGGAGGTGGAAAATAAGGATGAGGGTTTGCTAAGAAGACCGTGTCAGGACTGATAAAGAAGAAGAAATACAAGGGAGACCTTGACTTACTGCTGGTTTTTTGTTTTATTTTCTGCACAGAAATAGAATGTCTTGAACTCTTTGGGTGGAGGTTTGAGTTCAATTACCGATTGTTTGGAGCTAAAGGTCTGTTCACTCACCCTATATTCTCGCAGATATAGGCCACATAGAGATGGTGAAAATGAACCAAAAAACAAAAACAAGTGAGACTAGGGAGTGAGAAGGAGAAAAGATATCTGAAAAGATGCCAAGAAAATTTTGTGTCTGAAGGAACCTCTATTCCAGTTGTTTGATTTTACAGATGAAGACACTGAGACTCCAGAAGAATCCATAATTGAAGGTCACACACTAATGGTTAGTGGCAAGATTGGTAGTAGAACTTAGATTTCCTGGTTTCCATTTTTGCAGTCTTGTTACTACATGTTCAGTAGTTAGCTTTGGGTTACTGCGTGCTCAAACTAGCTTCTTTACCCGAAGGACACATTTTAAAATAAAATTTTCAGTATCAAAGGGTGACACCTGCAATATCATATTAAGAGGAAAATTAACTAGTATTTGCTTGGGCAGACCCATTAAAGCAGCCTTCCTGAAGAATAATAGAGATTGCCAGCAGTTTCTAACATGATTCATACCTTCTTTGTGCATATGCAAAGCACATTTAAAATATGAACCCATAGGGCAATAGGAGAAAGTCAACTGAATTAACAGTGAAAACAAATGACTGTTCTTAAAAAATAGCTAATGTGTATCTGTTCCTTTAAAACAAAATTTTAAAAATCATTTTGGAATTATCAAATATATCACTGTTTTTAGAAAAGAAAAAGCCAGCTTCTAACATTTGCAGGTCCTGTCAAGGAAGCAAATAGAGATCCACATATAGCATATCTACATATCTACATTTTACAAGATAAGGTAACAAACTATCAGGTAAAATATGTCCTATATGTAAGGGCAAGTAAATATTAAAAATAAGAGGCTTAATTCTTGTTAAAAATAAGGGAAGAAATTACCTTCCTTCACTTAGAGTATTTAATTTAGAAAATGTGTTCTTGTAAGTTATTTCCCTGTCTCTTTGACATGTATGTAAATGTTTTTAGAGCTAAATAAGTCTTCTGCTGTCTTTGTGACCCAGGAATGTCTTTCTCAAGGATCCAGCAGCCATTGCTTTAGAATATAATCATTGAGGGAGATAGCACCCCATCTGTCAGTTTCTGAGGGACGGTAGGAGCCTAACTTTGGTGACTGCCTGCCCCTGACGGCTTGCAAAATTACCTTCTGTCATAAAGATAGGAGAAGCTTATTTTTCCTTTGTATAAAATCATTTAACTAATACAGATGGTTACTCCAATTACCAGGTGAATTTAGGATGAACCATGTGTTATAAATGGTGCTATCAAATCCTATTATTTGAGAACTAATTTTTGTTTATCTTGGGAAAAGGTATATAATGGGTCGCATCTTCTCGGCTATATTAAAGGCTGGAATTTCTTTCTGTCTTTGTAATTCCTTAGTGAATTGCCTGTGATGTGCATCACATTTTGGTTTAATAGTTTATTCAGTATAAAACTATTTTCTCTACTACCTTTGAGGAGAGGATTTCTGGGTTGGAAGAAGATTTTGTTTAAAATTATATTTTCTCAACATATCCTTTCACCTTGACAAATATACAGTCCTAGTGAATTGGAAAATGGGATTTAAATGAAGAATTCTTAGACTCTCCAGAGTTCTTCCTCAAAATATGGCATGGTGGGGAGAGCTGGCCCTGGCCTATGACCTCACCTCATCTTCCCTTACCACTGCAATGGCCTTGGGCACACACGTGTGGTAACCCAGTCTGCACATCCAGCTCTATCCTCAACTCCCCCGGACTTCAGCCCCACAAACATCAGCCCCTTGTCACTTCTTAGGGCTGGGGGTGTGCACACGGGTGGGGGTGCAGCTGCCCTTGAGAGGGTTGACTTGAGAAGGCACCATGCACAGGCTCTGGGACCCTGGACAGGGCATTCCGGAGTCCCAGGTGCCTGAACACAGTCTAATATTATGGCCAAGGACTCAGGGTAAGCATGTACTGTTGACACTGAAAGCTCCTGGCCTTGTGCAGAGAAGCCTGGCTAGAAAAGTGTCAGAGAGAGGCTGGGGAAGGGTCAGGGTGGGGCTGTCTATCATGCAGCAGGAGTAGTACACTTCCCCGCTCCTCAGGTCTCAGGGTGAATAATGTATTCTGAGAGAAAAAGCAAGAAGTGAAAAGTACACCTAATTTCCTTTCACGTTTACTTTCATTTTTGTTATTCTATTTATTTTATTTTTTTGAGATGGGGTCTTGCTCCGTCACCTAGGCTGGAGTGCAGTGGTGCGATCACGGCTCACTGAGACCTCAATCACCTGGGCTCAAGTGATCCTCCCACCTCAGCCTCCTGAGTAGCTGAGACCTCAACCACCTGGGCTCAAGTGATCCTCCCACCTCCGCCTCCCGAGTAGCTGAGACCGCAGGTGCACCACCACACCTAGCTATCCTTTCATTTTCTCTCCCTTCCCCAAAGATACCCACTTACTGTCCATAGTTTAGTGTGTATCCTTCTAGGATGGTTAATTGTATGTGTCAACTTAACTGGACCCTGGTGCCCAGATACTTGGTTAAACACTATTGTGGATGTTTTCTGTAAAGGTGTTTTTTGGGGATGAGATTAGCATTTAAATTGGTGAACTGCAACTGTGAGTTTTCCTTGGCGGGCCTGCTCTTGTCTCCTCCCTTGGTAGGTAGTGACGGCCCCTCATGAACTGTTGGTGGTGTTTGTTGACAACTACATCAAACTCTTCACAGACCGCAACACAGAAGGCTTCCGGAAGATACTGGACATGAAGGGAATGAAGAGGAGCAAGCAGAGCAGCATGCTGGAATTCCTGCACCTGCCACTCCCCATGATGCCCTCGCGGGTGGAAAGCTCCAGCTCACTGTCCCTGATGGCGCCAACACCAGAGCAGGAATCGTCTGGCATCTGCAAACTCATTAAAAAGAGACTGTGGGGCCGGGCGCGGTGGCTCACGCCTGTAATCCCAGCACTTTGGGAGGCTGAGGTGGGCAGATCACTTGAGGTCAGGAATTTGAGAACAACCTGGCCAACATGGTGAAACTTCATCTCTACTAAAAATAGAAAAATTAACCGGGCATGGTGGCTCGTGCCTGTAGTCCAGCTACTCGGGAGGCTGAGGTAGGAGAACCCCTCGAACCTGGGAGGCAGAGGTTGCATTGAGCCGAGATCATACCTCTGCACTCTAGGGCAAGACTCCGTCTCAAAAAAAAAAAAAGTACCACTGTTTTTTGGATGCTTTGGTCTACAATGAAACTTTAATTCTGTCATGAAACATAGGAGAAGCACAATTCATGTGTATTTTTTTACCATGCACAAACTCTCAAATCATTATAATAAAGCTTATTTTCTCCAAAAATAAAAATAAATAAATAAAGCCCTTCATAAAGTGAGTGGGCTTCATCCAATCAACTGAAGTCCTCAAGAGAACAAATACTGACCACGCAAGATTCCACCGCCTTCTGGAATTCTGTCTGCAGGTGGCCTTTGGTCTGGAATTGCAGTTCTTGCCTGGCTCTCCAGCCTGCCAGCCTCTCCATCAGATTTTGAACTTTCCAAGGCTTACAATCATATGAGTCAATCCTTAAAATAAATCTCTCTCTACATATATACACATCCTGTTTCTGTTTCTTTAGAGAAAGAAACTAACACACCTTCCCATCGTTTCTCTGGACATCTTCAAATATACACATTCAAACAGAAACATTCAAATGGGAGTCTTTTGCAATGTGCTTTATTTGGTGCTTTCTGTCTATGGCAGCATCTGTAGTTTAACTGATACAATGCAACAATGTGTTCAGCACTGTGCTTGGCAATGTTAATGGATCATTGGTACGTGGAGCATGCAGGGCTAGCATCATCAGGCAAGTGTTTATTATCTCCTGACCCTTTAAGCTTTATTCAGTGGAGAATTCTTTGCCCCTGCTCCTGGATAGAAGCTCTGGGAGTCCCACAAATCTTCTGAACATCCTTAGATAATGAAAAGTCCCAAAGTCACCTTAAGTGGCAAGCACAGTGTCAATTCAAAAATCAGAATATCCAAGACCAGATGAGAAACAAAACTTTGAACTTGATTTACAATTAAGCCTTTTACCTCTCCCCTATTCAGCTAGAACCTGCGGTTGTTGGGAAACCCACTCTTGGGGAAGGTGGATTGGGTTCAAGTTATTCTTTTTCTGGGTTATTTCTCCATCTTATCCTACTGCCTGTCTTCTGGTATCTTCTATGATCTCTGACACTTTCAGTGTTCAGACAGAGGGAAGCAGTAGCAGAAGTGGGTAGGAAAGTATTTCATGATTGACCAGTTTTGTGCTTTCTGAATCTGGCAGCTCTAACAAGAGGCTCTTTCTCTTATGGATGTTTGCATGGGTTCTTTGGTATATCCTCCAACCCCTTGGGACTTCCCACCTGTATTTCCCTCGGCAAGAATGATGAGTTTGCTTCCAACTGGCTGCCTTCCTATTCTGCGGTCCCCAGGAATATGTTGCTACCATTGGCTTCTCTCTGCTGAGACCTGTCCACCCTCTCCGTTGGCCCAGTTGGATAGGTCCCAAGAAGACCTCAGGCTGGTTGTCTCTCCCCCATGGTCCACACCTGGCCCATGAAATTACTCAGGCCTTCTCGTCTCCATAAACTCTGGGAGTGCAGGCCACCCCCAACACAGACACTTCTTCAACTCATTCATCAGTAGCTACACAGCATACCTCTCCTCATAGATTTCTCAGATGGGATCAGATACAGTGCACTGTATCCTCCTTCTCTTCCAACTTCAGTGGGTGCTTATTTCATTCTCTGAGTAGTCTCACCAGAGTCCCTCTCCCTTAACTTGGATATACAAGGAGCACCCTAAACCCTTCCACCTAGACGGTACTCATAGTATATCAGCAGCTTTTGGCAAAGAAGTATTTCTGGAATCCTTTTAATTTCCCATGAATTGTTGTCTTCAAATGGAACAAGATGCTTAAGAGTTCAATAACTGGTTCCTGGATTATTTTCATTGAAAATTAGATTGATATTTTACTTTGGTATGGTATATTTACTGCATTTTGGTGCCTTGGTTAAAACTTCCACTTTAACATCCTGTTACATCAACTATTACTTTTATCCCTATTATTATTATTATTATTTATCATCTACAAAAAATTATAGTGTTCATAGTATTAAAGTTATAATTTATTTAAATCTTCTTCCACAGATAGTATTGATGTTGTTTCTAATTTTTTAAAATAAAAATAATGGACAAAGATATTGTTATCATTTGGACGTGCCCTCCAAATCTCATGTTGAGATGTAATCCCCAGTGTTGGAGATGGGGCCTGGCGAGAGGTGTTTGTGTCATGAGGGTGAGTCCCTCCTGGCTTGGTGCTATTCTTGAGATAATGAGTGAGTTCTTGTGAGATCTGGTTCAGTAAAATTGTGTGGCACTCCCTATCCCCACCCACTCTCTTCTTCTTGTTCCCACTCCTGCCATGTGGGATGCCTGCCTCCCCTTTGCCTTCCATCATAATTGTAAGCTCCCTGAGACCTCCCAGAAGCAGATGCCAGTGCTGTGCTTCCTGTACAGCCAGTAGAACTATGAGCCAATTAAACCTCTTTTCTTACAAATTACCCAATCTCAGGTATTTCTTTAGAGCAATGCAAGAACGGCCTAATGCAGATATGTTCAAGGATGTTTATCTTTGTGCACATGTTTGGAATTTCTGTAGATTAGTTTCTTGGAAGTCATATTTCTGGATCAAAGGTCAATTGCAATTTAAAATTGGAATTGCTTCCCAATTTCCACTTTCATAACAATGATTTCTCACCTTTATAATATCAATATTTGCATTTTTGCCAGTATTATGGGTAAAGTCTTTTTCCTTCATGTTTTATTCTACACTGCTTGATCAGCAGAGAAGCCCATCATCTTTGTATGTCTTTATTGGCCGTCAATATTTCTTCCTCAGTGAATTTACTTTTCATATTTTTTTTTCTGTTGATTAATTTGTCTTTTTTCTTGTTGATTTCTAGGTACTTTTAATATATTGTGAACATGCAAGTCCAATTCTGTGGTTTTCAAATGGTATTCCATGGAGCCCAAGGCTCTGTGGAGCTGTATGAAGTACATGTGGCTGCACTTCCTTAGAAATTCAAGGCAGAGCAGACAGGGTTCTGGTTCCCTCAACCCATGCTTCATCCACAATAACTCTCTTTTACCTCACTTAGACATTATAGAGCATTTATAAAATTATGTTTTGGGGAAAAAAGCGCCTATTGCTAAATATAAGTATTTAAATCAGATCATTAAGTATCTTTATGGTCCTGAAGTACTATGATTTTTGGTTCTATGAATTCAAAAAATAACGCTGTAATTGCTCAGGAATAGAAGATAGATCCAGAGTTGACAGATGATGCTGTGGTGTGAAGGTTTGTGTGCTCCCATCATTTATAGATTAAAACCTAATCCTCAAGGTAATAGTATTAGGAGTGGGACTTTTGGAAGGTGATTAGCTCATGATGGCTCTGCCCTAATTAATGGGATTAGTGCCCTTATAAAAGACACCCCAGCGAGCTAGCTAGCCATATGAGGACACAGCAAGAAGTCACCATCTATAAGGAATGGGTCCTCATCAGACACTGAATCTACTAGTGCCTTGAGAAACACTACTACTGTGAGAAATAAATGCTGTTTATAACTCACCAAGTTTATAGTACTTTTGTTATAGTAACCGAAATAGACTAAAACAGATGATCACGTTTTTGAGAGCTTTATTTGCTTACTAAGTATTGTTACTGAGCACTTACCTACTTTGTGCTAGGCACTACACAAAGTGCTGATACATTTGTACCCAAAACAGACACGGCTCCTAATCTCTCAAACTATTGGTTGGTGAAGAAGACACATAGTAAACAAGTAATTACAATAAAATATGTTGAAGGTTATGAAAGTCGTATATGACATGTCATCCTGACCCAGTTTGAAGGGCAGTGATGAGGAAGTGACGTTCAATTATAATCTGAAAGCGACTATGAGCTAGAGAGGTGAAGGGAGCGGGCTATGGACTGGGAGTGGACGAACAGCACACTGGACGATAAATAATTTAAGTAAATTTCTATTTCCCTGAAGTACAGATGCTTCTCAACTTATGATGGGGTTACATCCCGATAAACCCATTGTAAAGTGAAAATACTGCAAGTTGAAAATGCATCTGCTATACCTAACCTGCCAAACGTCATAGGTTAGC